CATCATTGGTTTTAATTCTGGACTATTTTTCTTCTGAATTAAGTATTTTCTGAAAACGATTGGTTGCAGAGAGGTTGAAAGGCGTGGATTTTAAATGACATATAGATATCTAAAAATACTTTTTTAATGCTTTTTTTAAATTGAAAATTGTTTAAAATCCCCATTCAAACTCACAATTATCCACTGCTTTATGTAGGTCCACCACATGAAGTTCTTACAAAATGCTTCGTCACTGAATACTTTTCAGTAGCACTCTGGGGGAAAAAAAAAAAGCCTGCTTAGTCACTGATAAAACCATGCAACACATGCTGAGCTTGAACTCAAAAACCCACAGAAAAATATACATGCGTCTCTGTTGACAGCACTCTACATCAATAATGTGACTTCAAGTTAAAAAAGGTGTTTATGTGGTGCTAAATGTGTTGAGACTAGCAAAGATGCCGGCCATATATTGCAGGGATCACACTTTTTAAATCTGTTATTGACCCAGGTTGTGTTTTGTTTGTTTCCCAGGCTTTTCATGTCTTTCAAACAGCTAAAAATAGCTCACGTAGTTGGGTAACTTGAATGATATTTCTCCTTTTGGTGCGCTCTTCATTTGTTAACATCGTGACCTAAACTGTTTTAGCATCCAATCAAAAAGAATAAAATAAAATAAAAATGAATGAGTCAGAGGAAATGTTGGCACAAACATTCTCTCCAGCCCACACTTCTTAGCAAACACGCTTCTAATTAGGACGCCACGTTTTTTAGGGGGGGGGGGTTTATGTTTCGGTCGTGAACTCGACACAAGTGTGTGTTCATCCACATGTATGCTTGTGCCCTTAAGGGGAGCCCCGTACTCTTAAACCAACACCTGTCAGTCCTCAATGACAAGAGCATAACAAGAGATTGTGAGAGGCACGGTGTGAACGAAGACAAGAAAGAAGAGGAAGCTTGAAATTACGAAGAAGGGAGATGAAAGAAGGGTGAGATGGCAGGGAGGAGGAGAAGCACGGGAAGGTGAGACTTCTGAAGATTGCTGCAGACGCCACGAGATGAGAGAGGTGCAACATGACGTTCGGTGTTTAGGCCCGTCATCGTCTTTTTGATTTGCCACCATGCGCTTATGATGTGTTCCTCTGTCTGCTGCTATTATTAGACCCTCAGATCATTGTGTTGATATTTTGACATCGGGGCTCGAGTTGCACCTGTTTCGCACTCCCTCACATGTGAGGAGTTCGGGGCTCACACACCGTTTCCCTTCTCAAGACAGACAAAAGAAGAACAGGCAGACGGAGAATGACAGCCTCGGTACGATTTTTTAAATTTTTATTTTTGTTTTTTTTCCACACAAACACTCGGAACCAGAACGCACGCTCTCTGCCTCGGCTCGGATGGGAGTGGAACCTTCTTCTTTGTATGGCATCCTTGTGTTTTTATTCAGAGGAAGATTTAAGGGCGAAAATGTGAGATGTCCTTATTCCGAATGACAGCTGTTTATAAATTAAGTTGATCAGACAGAACACGCAGGCTTTTTTTTCTTTTTTTTAATCAAACTGTTGCACCTTCCTCTGATCTCCCCATGCTGCCAGACACGCGAACGGAGGGGTCTGATGTAAATGTGTCGTCTTTGAAGCCTTGAAATGAGCTTTAGCATGTGAGTTGTTGGTTTCTCTTAAAAGTTCTATAGAAACCTTTGAAGTCCAGAGTTGCATTTTATTGGTTTTGACACATGCTCTCATAATTGTCCATCTATCCCACATCTGTGCTCACTAAGCATGGCCAGTATCAGATTGTCAGGGGATGAAAACCTTGGGTAAAAACCAATATTTTAGATTAAACTTTCAGTCTAAAGTGTAAAATATGATTGAAACGCCTTTTTTTATAATAATAATATTCTTAATATTGTTAATATTTGCTATAGAAAACATGTAGAGTAACATTTATTGTGATTTTAATACAGCGAAACAAAGATATTAATATTAAAATGTAAAATAGATAAGAAGAGCAGCAGCACAGAGCTCCATGGTAACTCGGGAGGAGCTGCAGAGACACACAGCTCAGGTAGAAAAATCTAACAGCATCTGATTGGATCCACAAATCTGGTGAAGTTGTAGTGGAGGAGTCTGTTTTTCAGCTAGCTAACAAATAGTGTGAAGAAACAGGATGGAGAGACACAGAGTTGCTTCACTCTGTGTTCCATACGGACGAAGGAAACTCTAGCCTCTGCTCTTTGATGTTTCACTTTAAAAAGGACTTTACTAACACTACAGAACACTACAGAAGAACAGAAATGTCCTTTATTGTCTCACAGTGAGGAAATACTTGAGAAATTCCTGACAGAACATTGTCAAACTCTCAAAACTATAATACTGCTAACCAGACAATGGTTATAGTAAGCTGATATACCTACATTTGTCTTCTTACCAAAGGCAGTTTTAAAACAGAATAATTATTAAGAGATGAGTTGCTCTACTATATTTTGTAAACAAAATGGCTGCCTTAAGTTTAAGTGATTAGAATTATTCCCAGCCTCACAGATGAATGTTTCTGGTAAGCAAGAGGAAAGTGTTTGTGATGGTTTTCCCCTCACATGACCAGCATTGTGCAGCAACATGTTAGGGCCCCACAAAGCCAGAGAAAACTCCAGCCACTTTCTTTAGGCTTGAATTGACTTTAAGCCACATGAACGATACGACAGAAAATGTTTCCTGTTTTGAGAAAATTGTAAAACCTTCATACCAATACGTGGCCTATAGCCAATCTGATGGTAATCCTGATTAGATTGATGGAGGGGAGTGACTGGATGGTTGTGGGGAGTTTTATCTTTCCTGTAAATAATAAGAGGAAGAACAGACCCTGAAAACTTTGTCAATACGTCACAGAGCCAACACAGAAGGACGCAAGGCAGCCAGGAACGCCGCACTCCAAGGGGTCAGGTACGTTTTTTGGGGGGAAACGAGTTCATTCCCAGTTAAGGAAGCAAACGCCTCACAGGAATCTCCCGACCAGTTCTCCCAGTCATCAGCATAGATGCGTCCAACCGACAAAAAGGTTTGGCTTTGGCAGGAGCACAAGTTCTCCACAAATAACCACATTTGACAAAGTTTATTTATGGAAACCAGAAGATGAAAAGAGCCCTTTTGATCTCCACGCTGTGACATCATACTGCAGGCGAGCGATTATCACAATGCGGAGCTGGATTAAGCTGCTAATTTTACAAGGTCTGCAAATGTCGGCGACAGAGTGGCGTTCTCGTGGCCCTGAGACAAAGAAAAGCGGCGCGGCGTCTGCAGCTGATATCTGCAGCAACGAGATTAGTCTGGTAATTAACCACAAAGCAATTATCGGTTGGTTGGATGAGAGGCGCGTCTCTCGGAAGGTGTTTCTTGACGTGTTTAATAGGTGTTGAGTAGTTTGATCAGTCAACAGAAGTTGTTTCTGAGGCCTGCCGTCCAACGGCGGCTGATCCAAAGCTGATGCACACGCCAGCCGAGAAGTCAATTAATTAGACTGTTGCTCTTCCTTTCATCCACTTTTCATTAACCTCCATTGACACGTCGGCGGAGCTGGTGCACAGGTTTACGACTGCGTCGGGATTAACGAGGAAGTGGGAAGCCGGTAATAAACAAAGTTGCCAGAGGAAGGAGATTTCCCTGGATACCTCACACTTTCAGGCTACATCTGCAGTAACTCATATTCATGTTAAGAGAAAAACAAAACTTTCAGCACTATGTCAGCCGGTAAAACATGACTATTGATGTACAATGCCTTGCTACATATAAATATATACGCCCTGAACTGTTCCGTATTTCCTTTCCGTTACCGCCGCAAGTCACAACGGGTTATTACTGAGATTAAAAGCAGCCGACATAAAGTGTATATTTATAATAAGGAAGGAGATGGATTTCTATTAAAAACAGAAACATGAAAAGTTTGGAAAGCTCTGAAACGTCTCAATAAAATCCCGTGCAATCAAATGAAATAGTGAAACAGTGTCCACCTACTGACAATTCAGTCTCTTCATAAATACAGCTGATCTGTGAACAAACATTTGTGAGCAGACGGTGACAGGAATACAATAGGACAGATCAGGAATAGGATATCGATACAAATAACAGTGGCGCTTGAGTCTGGGTCGCCATCAGAGCAGAGGAGCGCCACCAGGAAGTGGTGTTCTTGGTATAAAGTTGAGGAAAATTTAAAAGCAGAGCTGAAGATACTGTTCGAACCACTTGAAAATGCAAACCCACCAGATACTCCCACTAAACTGCAAAGAAAAAACAAATGTAGAAGGAGCAAAAGGTCCATGGTAGATGTGCAGCATGAGAATGGAGAATGGGACGGAGGTTCATTTTGCATTGGAACAATGACTGAAACATGAAGTCAGAGCTACGATGTAATGTTTAAGATGAAGGTGTCCACACCAAACCTAATTATGATCCGAGGTATGATAGAAATCATTTTGAAAACCAATTTTCTTGTTCTTTACCTTCACAATTATGTATTATTCTGTGTTGCAGCCAGCTAACACAACTTAAAGTACCAATTAAATCCATAGGAATCTGTGGTTGTAACATGAGAAAATATGAAAACTGTCAATGAAGATGAACACTTTTGCAAGGCAGATGCTGCTAAGAACAGCAATCCAAGTCAGACACCGTGGATAAAATGGCAATGCTTGAGTGGCGTTCTGCATTTTTTACCATCACAAGATGAAACAACAGGTACTGGACTGGAGAAACGAAAAGCTCTGTCAGTGCAAACCTTTTGTGAAATCACCAAAAGACATCGAGATCTGTTACGCTCCATTATTTCAATATCCGAAAAGAGTGAAACATTTATGTTGGGAAATCAGAGAAGAGGAGATTTAAGAAATGGTGCACTTTGAGTATTGTGTGTGAGTGCTATTGATCAAAAAAAAAAAAAAAAAAAGGATGTACAGCGTACTTCTTTTCTTTCACATATAACATTTCAACAATGCTTCAGCTTATACTTTTTTTTTTTTTTTTCCCTACCTGACTCGTCATCAGACTTGTTGTCATTCTCGGAGTCAGTGAGGGTGAGGGCCGAGTTCTCACGGCTGGACACACCCGAGCTGCGGCGAGATTTCACACCTGCGCGCCCGGCCCACAGCTGAATGGCTCGCTCTGGAGACAAAGGCCCCTCTGGGTCCGAGTCCGCGTCTGAGCCGGCGCTGAGGGAGTAGCCCCTCTGGAGAAGGCCCAGGTCAGGACAGTAGGGAACGGCAGCGGGATGCGGCGGGGGAGTTTGCTCACAAACTCCCAACTCAGCGAGGGTGAAGTTACCCCCTGCGAGTGAGAGGAGAAAATGGTGTGAGGAAAAAAAAAAAAAAAAAAAAACAAGAGACCGGAATGCAAAGAACAACACAAGGTAAATGTCGTTAAAAAAAAAAAAAAATATACTGCACAAGCAAGTATTCGTGAAAAGCGAATGCACACACGCCAGATCTACAAAACAAACCCCACAATCACACGCAGAGAAGCACACTAATTATGAAACTACGGAGGCGGAGGATGAAAATTGGGCTTTGTTGTGGCAGGCAGGAGGGGGAGAGATGACGCAGCATGAATCAGGCACAAAATTCAAGCTAGCTGCTGGAAGAAATGTGTACTGGCCTGCAGGCCTGTTAGGGCTGGCTTTGAAAACCTGCTTCCCTCGCTTTCCTGATCCACACTGGCTTTTATGAGCCGTTGATGCGAGATCAAAGAGCTGCTCACTTGAGTCCTCTTGGACTGTAGTGGAGCCGCTTTAGTTGCCTTCTGGGTTTGATCATCTCCCCACCTAGTTGCCATCACACGCAAAGGACCCCGGGGCTCACAGTCCGCTGCGGCGCTAGTCCCCTGGAGCCCATCGCTCTCTTCCTCCCCCCCTCAAGACAAACTGGCTTGTCACATCCAAAATAAATATATAAAATTATCCAAATTAAAGCACATCAAAGTAGATCAATAAACAGCACTGGAGCCCAATTAAATCCAAGCTGAGGAAAAAGCAATTAAGAAAAAAGGCCTGCTCAACCAATTTATTCTCCATACTAATTAAAAGAGTATTGTGGATGCAATCGCACACCATCAGCTGTCGGGGTAAAAGGATCAGGGGAAAAGCGGTTGTGATTGACTTCATTAGCAGTTTGCGAGGGAAAGCAAAGAAAGAGGCAAATGATGAGAGGTTGCCATTGTGGAGGCGCACCGTGCGATTCCGCGCACCGGGGATCGCACAGCTGCGCGGCTCGGTTCGACTGCGACTCGTCAGGCGTACGGACGCAATCACCGAACGACACACATCAGAGAGATGAATATCGTCTCCTGGATCCTCACTGCTCCCTCTTTGTACAAAAACTCCTGCATTGCGCTGAAAAGGAAACTTAGCCAGGGAACTGGTGAAAGGTCCTTTACTTATACTCGGGCAAACAGATGGCCAGACTAGAGAGCAGAGACGAGTGAATAGCTCCACAGGTGGAAACAGTTAATGCGCCGCAGCTTGCCAAGCTTCCAAATAGCTACAGTGCAAGGGCGTCCAAGCATCGCAAGACATGAGGGAATATTACAATATTCTCTTTTCCTTTGCTTCTTTGTTGTCTGTTCCTCCCACTTATCACCAGTGATAACAAAAGGAGACTTCTTTACTACATGGTAAATAAGGACACTACACTACAGTGTCTAACTACAGCCCATACCTGACATAAGATATCGAAGAAGAACAGGGGAGAACTCCAGGATGCCTGAGAGAGTAGAAAACATGGGTTGTTTAAAATCAGTTGACAACGTATCTTGAACCAAACCACCCCACCTTCACAGCGAGGATGCGTTTCTTAACTGGAATGGAGAGATTATTAGATGGTCTGAAAGGCAAAAATGTTTTTCTTTTTCTCCCCGTCAGTGAATGTGTCAAACCTAAGCAGGACAGGGTTATGCTGACGCCAACACTCTTCAGTGTGGAAGTCGTTCCAGAGGGAATAGGACTTGAAGTGAGCCTTTCACTGTCAGTAATGTGTTTAAAAAAGGAAGAGCTGTAAAAAGCTTAGTACTTTTCTACAAAGATTGTTCGGCGAGGTTCTCTGCTGTAACAGAGCCTCCGTAGCTGACGCTAGCAGGTTCTTTTCTTTGCCATGTTGTACTTTATGGGCCATTAGTTGGTTTGGAAATGATTTTTTGAGGTACAAAACAGAGTTACTTGCCACAAGACATCCGTATGTGTGCCCTTCAGGGTGATCTGTCAACTTCACAAGATATAAGGAATACCCATTACATCAACGCTGCTCTGTTTTATCCTTTTGAGCATTCAAGCTATTTCCATAATGGAAACTGCTGAATGTTGAAACATTATAAGCTTGTCTTTACTGTAATCTTACAGTTAATTTGACAGTCTGATCCTTACAGTGACTAAGCTAAGCTAATCAGGCTGATTGCCCATATAAGATGTTTATTACATACAAATGCAAACTAATCAATTTGTAATAATTAAAATAATGCATTTTGTTTGTTAGCCCCTTTAAAGACATCAAGGAGACTTCACAAGAACAATACAATGCAAGAATACGTTAAAAAAATGAAAAGATATAGAACAAAACAATATATAAAAAACAAGAGATCACAATGAAAAGGCTAACTTGAACAGATGTGCTTTTATTTATGCTTTGTTTTAAACCTGTTTCTTTTTTTCCTTTATGGCAACCATAACTCTGGTTCTCATTTAGATTTTTAACTATTGCTAATTGTAATAAAGCTATAACATTATTTTGAACGCTGTTAATTATTGTGAAGAGAAGAGAAACTGAGTTTGGCTACAATTTGTATACATTTCTGAATTCTGAGACAAGACAATATTCCTATTTATAAGCAGGTTAAAACTTTACACAAACTTGAAATCGGAACAACTGACCCCAGGCCTTTGATTGGTGTTCCCCTGGTTTTTCTAAAGGCGGTCCCATCCAGCCCATCTACGACTGAACAGGAGCCACAGACAGTAGAAAACAAATGCTAAGTAGTCCCATGAAGACATTTTCATACCGTTTGCCTATGCTCGTACAGTTTGATTCTAGCATTACGTACCACAGGAATTTATTCTGTAGAATTAACATTGCAGTGATTGCGCATGTAAAATCCCATCCCTCCTTATCAGCATCTGCAGTAGATGTAGCCCAACATCCCATGTACTCAAAGAAAGATGGATTTGTGTGAGGGCTTGGAGTAGGCACAAAAATCTATCTTAGTTATCCTACAAATAGAAAACCAATTGCGTGTTTGTTACACGATATTATGACAGATGTGGAGCGAGGAAAGTAAGGCTTTGCATTCTAATCAGTCACACATGTGCCTAAATGTTTGTCTTTTGAACCCTGGGAGCTCATTAGTTGCCATTTAGGCAACATATTGTACATTGTGTTAGAATTGTTGTTATTTCCGTAACATTTGGCTTTTTAGCTTTTTTTCAGAGCTTTTTACCATCTAGTTTAAAAAGGCTGGACCTCTCCATGACGAAGGGGACAAGACACAGTTGAGAGCAAAGTGACATTGGGACTACATCTCAGTCCAACGCTCCTAAGAACAGTTTAAAACAGCATAATGGAGGAGGATTGTTGTGATTATGTAATCAAATCAGAGTACCAGTTAAAGAGACAAACATCAATTTCAAGGTGTCAAATTGTGAAATCAAATTTCTCTTAGGTTATGTTTGACATATACAGCATTTCCACAACAACTGACAGTAACACAGTTACTTGATTGTGCTATAATATTGCACTATGTGCCTGTAAAATTCATAATACCGCTCAGAAAGGCATAAACATCTGCTGTATGGTCACAAATGATTCATAGTGTCCAGACAGTTTAGATGTGCAAGGCCCCGCCCACTTACACAGGCTTAGTTTGTTTTAGTTTAGTCCTGATACATCGGTTTCCCTCGTCACTTTTCTCAATAAAATGCCAGGCAATCTCACAATCTAATAGGAGTAAAAGTGCTTAATAATGATTAACTTGAACACACCCCTGATGAGTAAATTAAAATCCTCAGGTCATATGAGCAAGCACGTCGGGGGAAAAGATAAAAAATCTGACCTTTCACAGAAGGTAAGTTATCATAATTAGTGTCATATTTTTTAATTTAGTAATTGCTGATTCTAAGATAAAGGAATATCTTTCACATTTGTTCTGCTTGAACCTCCCTAAATATTTCTTAATCTCTGGGAAACAATTAGGAGGGCAGTCGGATTTAAGGTAGCATACTTAAAAATATGTTGGAAATCTATCTGGAGAAGGGTTTCCCAGGTGGCTCAATTGGCAGAGAACATCTGTGCAGGCTGTAGTAAACGACTCAGTTGTCCTGGGTTCGATTCCCAACCTTGGATCATTTGATGCATGTCTTCCCCTTCTCTATCCACCCTATTTCTTGTCTCTCTAGTGTTCAATAAAAGCCAAAGTGCCAAAAATCTATCTAAAACATGTTGCTGGATTTTTGCCAAATTGGGAAAAAAAGAGAGAAATGTACAAAACATAAAGAGAACCAATGTAAAAAGAAATGTGGTAATGTCAAGGAATATTAGTTTAAACACTGGAAAACAAAAAGATAGCAACCTGACAGAAATCTATTGAGTCAAGAACTAATTATCAGTGTGCACTGAAATGAGAGCAGAAATGTGTGAGGATAGTAATTAGTACAATCATTCAATTTAAATTGAGAAAAGGTTTTATTAAATGAAATAAAAGTATGAAAATGTTCAGCACTAAGCAACAGAACCAGGAAGTGGGTTGTAGCTTTGAATGAAACAGAAAACTGTCCCAAAATAGCAAAATTAGGGTATATATATATATATATATATATATATATATATATATATATATATATATATATATATATATAAACAGGACTAAAAATATTTATGTACTATGACATTATGTGTGGTAGGATAACTTTTTTGTAAATATACAAAATATGGATTTGTATTTGTGCATGAAAAGACAAACTTCTCACAATAATGAAAGATAAAAACAGTGCCGTGAAACAGCCATGCAACACCTGCAGAAATGTTATTTAAAAGCTTTGCCATTAGAGGTTTAGTCATCTGTGCATCATAACTTAACCATGAGGAATTCCAACTGGAATGCAAACTAACAAAGCAAAGAAAAAAACAGAGCCGAATGAAGGGAACAGCCAGCCTTGACAAACAATTTGGTGCGAATTAAAATAGGTAGCCTTCACTGTGCTAAGAATACGCTCTTGGTTTGCAGGTGAGGTATGATTTATAGTAAAGAAAAGCCGTGTTAGTTTGAAAACAGCAGGAGTTTAGCTTGTGCCTGATTGCAAAGAGTCGGTTCTGCTGTTAGCCTAGTTCCTAATTTGCTCGTGATTATTCTTAAAAGATGGTGGCCAGTTGTGAGGGCTCTTCAAGCAATTAGGCACTAAAGGTCCTCTGTGGAGCTAAGGGTAATACTACTACTACTTTAAAAAAAAAAACTCCTAAGACTTGTGTATAAATGAATAAAGTAAACAACAGGAGTCGTTGATTTATTACGCAACTTAAGTGTGATTCAATCTTTCTTGTGAAAATGATCTGCCTGTAGCAGTTTTGTGTCTGGTTCAAAAATATGTATCAATCAAACTCTTGTGTAAAGTCTCCAGGGAGAGTACAGCACACCCTTGGTATTCTGCATTCTTGTTAGCAAACCCAGATGAGAGCAAATTTTCCCACACAAGAAATGTTTTTTTTGTTTGTTAGATTTGTAGCAAGCGGATGCTTAAACGGCAACAGTATATTTCTAACAATTAGCTAGCACTAATTAGCGTCTCGTAGTGACTGTAAAAATGGCAACACGGGGCTATATGATAGCAGACTTATTATTGCTAGACAGAAGACAATTGTCGAATGAAAAATGTAAACACTCACAGAGACAGAGAGCCACTCAGCAGCACATCTGGGGCTGCTGTGTATACGTCTGTATTTGGCGACCATTTTCTGGATAGCAGCCGATAAATCCCGGGAAAGATGGAAGCATAGATGAACTAAAAAGGCATTGTGGCTCCGGAAAGGCTAATTGTTGTTGAACCCTTTATGTCTTAAATTTAAAATCTCCGCCTGAATATTTTTGCTTATTTTAATTGTACGCACTTCTTTAAATGTCCTGTGAGTAAATATATTTGTCCATTTATCCGTAACAACTCGAACTTTCAATATATAGTAAGCTATTTTACCGTCTATTAAAAAAGCGCCCCTCAGGTTAATTTCACTTCCTGCTGCGGTGGGGGTGAAATTACCGAAATAACCCGATATTGGCTGGAAAAGCGCAACGTCTCCCCTTTCAGAAACCGTTGGAATTTTCCAAGTAGCAAAAAGTGTGGCGGAGTTACGGTACTGAACGTTTGGCCGGTGTTCCCCGTTTAGGACTTAAAAGTTTAATCAAAACTGTTAAAAGAAAAGAAAATCACCTAAACATAAACATTGCACAGTTTTACTTCATAAAATAAATAATTTAAAAGGCACATTTTTAAACTTGTGTTCTTTGAATTACGTAAAATTTTAATAAGTGGGTCAGCAGCATTCACACACACGACAAAATGATAAAAACAGAAGAAATCCGTAAGAGGGCTAATACTTTCCCACGACTTTGGTTTTTCTAAACACCCGCTTACGACCGGTGGAAGTAAGCTTTGAAACTTTGGAATAAAATATGTAGAACAATAAAAACAGAATATAGTTTCATTTGTCATTGTTGCACAGCAACACAA